ATTTATTATGTAATCAAAATATTTCACAGACGTTTACTTTTACTCCTATGTTTATTATAACATTTTCTATTTCACCTTCACATGTGTATAATGTAATGATAATGTAATGAATTGTGTTTTTTTTTTGGATTGATTTGAATTGTATTAGTTTAATCGTTGTTTTTTCAATGTTTAAATAATCCTGTTTCTTATGCAAATACCACATTTAATTGAAATGTCGTATACACCTATAATTGAGGTGGCACTTAACATGTTTTGCCGTATAATTAGTGTACACTTAAATTTTTTCAGTGTCCATTTCGTTGGTGTATCAAATAAATAAATAAATAAATAAACCGCAACGTCGATAGTTTTTGTTAATTTATCTACAAAAACTTACTTATGGTTTCAACTTGAGCGATGAGGCTAGCACTAAAAATAAAAAAAATGTAGACATTATAAATTACACTACGTTTTTTAAACAATAAATCATCATTTTTATCATACGCGGTAAATATTATTATTTGTAATTTGTTATAAAAGTAAAAGCTTATTGTTTTGTAATACAGTTCTATTCATTATGATGAAAGTTTTTTTTTTCATTAAAAAAAGTTTTTGTTCCTCGACGAATGCCGAACCTGTTTTCTCGATGAACAAAATAAATACGTTGCTTAACCATGGCAGAAAATTACAAAGAAAAAATCTCAACTGATAATTTATTTTTTGAACGAGCAAAAATACCTCCAGAAAACACCGCACCGGTAAAACTTCGCATAACGTCCCGGATGACAAATCACCCGCCGGCACAAGTTTCTTGATAAAGTATCCCCGCTCTAATCCACCTAAAGACTATATCACTTTAATAACCGCGGTATCTCAGCGTGGCTCGGTGGCCCTGGGTTAGTGGTACAAATGTGCCTGTGGTCTTACCAACAAATGCTATTAATTATTATATAAATACTCCAACACTCGCTTACCTAGGATGCAATAGCTTTGAGTGGGCGATTAGCCGGTGTACCTAAATCGAGGTACCTACGATAAACGATAAACGAAAAAGTAACAGCCTATACATGTCCCACTGCTGGGCAAAGGCCTTCTATGTACAGAGGGCATGGCGACATAGTGCACCACGCGGCTCCGCTGCGGATTGGCGGACTTCACATATCTTCGAAATAGTTTTTTTTTTTGTTAATGTTTCGTCAGTATGCAGAATTCCTCACGATGCTCGCCGCTAATCACGTGATAAGTCAGCACTTAAAATTAACAATTGCCTATATGCCTTCACTGCGAATCGAACTTAGGTTTCTTGAGTATATTAATTAAAGGCGTGCATCCGGACACTGAGCTATCACTAAAAATAAAAAAAATGTAGACATTATAAATTACACTACGTTTTTTAAACAATAAATCATCATTTTTATCATACGCGGTAAATATTATTATTTGTAATTTGTTATAAAAGTAAAAGTTTATTGTTTTGTAATACAGTTCTATTCATTATGAAAGTTTTTTTTTTTTTTTCATTAAAAAAAGTTTTTGTTCCTCGACGAATGCCGAACCTGTTTTCTCGATGAACAAAATAAATACGTTGCTTAACCATGGCAGAAAATTACAAAGAAAAAATCTCAACTGATAATTTATTTTTTGAACGAGCAAAAATACCTCCAGAAAACACCGCACCGGTAAAACTTCGCATAACGTCCCGGATGACAAATCACCCGCCGGCACAAGTTTCTTGATAAAGTATCCCCGCTCTAATCCACCTAAAGACTATATCACTTTAATAACCGCGGTATCTCAGCGTGGCTCGGTGGCCCTGGGTTAGTGGTACAAATGTGCCTGTGGTCTTACCAACAAATGCTATTAATTATTATATAAATACTCCAACACTCGCTTACCTAGGATGCAATAGCTTTGAGTGGGCGATTAGCTGGTGTACCTAAATCGAGGTACCTACGATAAACGATAAACGATAAAGTAACAGCCTATACATGTCCCACTGCTGGGCAAAGGCCTTCTATGTACAGAGGGTATGGCGACATAGTGCACCACGCGGCTCCGCTGCGGATTGGCGGACTTCACATATCTTCGAAATAGTTTTTTTTTTGTTAATGTTTCGTCAGTATGCAGAATTCCTCACGATGCTCGCCGCTAATCACGTGATAAGTCAGCACTTAAAATTAACAATTGCCTATATGCCTTCACTGCGAATCGAACTTAGGTTTCTTGAGTATATTAATTAAAGGCGTGCATCCGGACCCTGAGCTATCACGGCTAGCTATATCTATCAAAAACGGTTTCTTCCGCTATTTAAAGGCAGTCAAATATTTTTGTGACATTGTGTGTCGTTAATAAATGAAGGAGTACGTACAACTCCAAAACGCAAAGTTTGAGTTATTTTATAGTGAAAAAAGGTCTTTAATTATTTTACGATCCTTTTTTTTTTTTTTTTCAGATAATACCCTGGTTTTAAATTTTAGAGCCGATGGAGTTTAAGAAATGAAAATTATTAGTTAATGTTTAATAAGTACATAATAATTTAAAAACGGAAAATAGCCCGGCCATATATGTATCATTTAGACGTTCAACGCCTCAGGGGTTACGGGATAGAACCATGAACATGAACCATGAACGCGAGACGGCACGAACTAAAATATAAAATAAACGGCAAATCCATGAAAATAGTTTCATTTAGTAATCTTTAATCGCCTAAATACAATTCATTCTGAAGTAAATAAGGAGAAAAATAAATTATTAGAATACAAAAGTGAACCAACAGAACATCCTTCCAACCGTAATAATAACTAAACCTTTTCTATTTTTTTCACCTTTCGCACCGTAAACAGGCCCACAAATCCGTTGAGCATCTAAGCGTTCAAGAATTAGATCCCCCATTTTCCTCTCCACGTAACCGCTGTTTCCATCCTATAAAAGTTAGCCGAGTTGTTGTGAATTCAATTACGATCCGCCGCCACTAGGTAACCGTTAAGTTAAAACTAACCGTTACCTTTATTTCTCCACCTAGGATTTCGTTCAGCTCGTTCAAACTCGGTTATCTTTAATTGTGTTAAACATGTGAGTTGTTTGGTGTGTGGATAGATCACACGCCTCCAATGTGCGATGTCCAAAGACATTTTATTTAGTGAGTCCGAACCGTAAACCAATTTTACGCTGTCTAAGCTCTTATGGCTCAGGACCGTGCTTCTGCCACGAGTGCAGTCTGCGGGGGAGGCCCATGTTCAGCAGTGGATGGGCTGAAACGATGATGATAATGAATCACTTAATACATTTGAACACAAAAGTATTGCATCGAGCGAGCAGACGGTTCACTTGATGTTAAGTGATAACCGCCGCCCATGGACATTTGCAACACCATTTTTTGAAACACATATACTTTAATCACGCGATGTATAATGAATCAGTATTAAGACATCCTTACATATTCAAGAAAACAAAACATGGTATTCGCGTTATAAGTAGTCGGACTCTCGTTAACTACCACCTTTAAAAAGCAAAAAAATCCTGTTGTTCCAATAATTTTTATCCAATCTTTAGTACTGTTGTAGCGGCAAAAACTTACACTGTGAAAAATTTCAATACTAATCTGTGAAAATTTCAACTGTGTTAACTAAACTAATAGGTTCATGAGATACAGCCTTCCTACTGCACTGTAAAAACTACACGCCTTTCTACAAGGCCGGCTATAGAGCTTAGAGACGGAGTGAAACATCCTTTGATTAAAATTTTGGAGAACGATAGCACAGACTTATTATATAATTCTCTCGATTTTACAACGAAACTATATTTATCGTCCCTTTTGCAGTGGTTAAACCGCCCGGCCTAATCCGTAAAGCGCGCTCTAAACACAGTCGCGGGGAAACCGGTTTTCGTGGCGAAATTTGGCTTTAATAGTCATTGGTTACCAAATTGGCGGTAGCAGCGTGATACTGACTTGCCACCATCTTCCCGTGAAATGCTGACGCATTATATGTTCCTCCTGTCCATATAGATCGGCTAACACCTGAATCGTGTTTTTAGTGGTAGTTTTTTGACTTGACAGGAGCTTAAAATCCTTACTTCCTTAAATAAGAGTTCTAACGTTTTTACCTTGATTCTTATGTTTTAACTATTACTGAACTTTAATATTAACAACTATTATAACGACAAGTAGCACTAGTGGTTGTATCACAGCCGCAATCCAAGTGACCGCTGTTACATGCGACCACGTGTCCATTGACTCGAGTAGATAACGTCATATCCCGTATACAGTGTTGCCAGCGCCAACACTTACTAATATTATAAACGCGAAAGTTTGTATGCATGGGTGGATGTTTGTTACTCTTTCACGCAAATACTACTGAATGAATTTTAGCGAAACTTTACTTACGTGTCAATTTCAATTAAAGACGTCGAGGTTCATCGTGTCAACATTCAATATGATGACGCAGTTGCCAACGTATTGGCTTCGGCGTCGCGGGTCGTGGGTTCGATTCCCACACGGGACAACTATTTGTGTGACCCACGGATAGTTGTTTCGCATTTGGGTGTTCGGCCGCGTGAAATTTATGTTTGTAAAACGTCCTTACAACACAGGATAAAGTTATCCAACATCCGAATAAAAACAATGGCCTTACCCATTGTTTTTATTCGGATGTTGGATCTCGGCGATAAGCGTGAGTCCTGCTATTTGTGAGCGACTCTGTGTTGCATCTCGGTGGGTTTCTTGGACGCAAAGAATGTGACAATTGGTTTTGCGACAGAGATCCGAAAGAATCTCTGATTTATCTTGAGAGAACCCTTCGATGTTTACCGAGACTACGCACAGAGCCGGATAAGTTAGCGAACTTTGTAATATTGGGTTTGCCATCGTGTCGTAGTCATTAGTTTCACGGTTTCTGCCGCTACTCACGGGGAGGGCCCGAGCAAAGGTGACGCTCTACGGGAAGGCTTACTACGTCCCCCCCCCCCCCCCCCCCCATTTTGTATGTATTGTTTTTATTAAAAAATATTTATTGTTACAGGGTCGAATATACAATACGGATCAACAACAGGGCACGAGATCCCGCGCAAGGGTGAGTTATTAATAGTTTATATATTTTCATTTAATTTCATTTACTTTGCTGAAGTTCTGAAACATGATCAAATCCACGACCCCTTAATAAATATTTGTTTATTTAAAAATTTGTTGCTTACACTCCAACGTAAGGTCAAACGAAAGGCAAACTTAATGCTAATAAGCATTCTCTTCCAGTCGACCCTGGGAGTAGAGAAAGTTTGATGCAAGTGCAAAACAAAATTACTAGAAATAAATTAAAAATAAAAGAAAACAAAATAAGTAAAGGTACATTCTATAGAAACATACTTTACACAAACATAAATACCATACATATTTATTACATGGCTTTATCCATACTAATATTATAAATGCGAAAGTAACTATGTATGTCTGTCTCGCTTTCACGCCAAAACTTATGAACCGATTTAAATAAAATTTGGTACACAGATAGTCTAGATTCAGAGAAAGGACATAGGCTATTTTTTAATTGGGATTTTTTTAAAAGCAGATATTTATTTAAGGGCTTTAACGCGAGCGTAGCCGCGGGCGAAAAGCTAGTTGGCTATAAACCTACCGCCTAGCATCGCCCTTACCAGGCTTCTGTGTACACCTACCGAAAGGACCCCTCGAAATTGGACAGCTCATCGAATTCTCCAAACATTATTACACCAATTATCACACCAACGTGCCTTCAAATCTCGCCACGTCTAATTAGAACGACGGATGTCGCTGTTTAGCCAGGCGCGAGCGGCCAATGCGAGCGACTTGTTTCCAGGCGAAACTGTCATGGCGTCGCGTAAATTTGCTGCCATGTCGGGATTCACTTTTAATCAGTTTGAATCTAACTTTTTCTTTATGTGAATTGCCTTAAAAGCAACGACCGTACTATTAGTACATTTTTTTGTATCCATATACCGAACTAGCTAACGTTAGCACGACGTGCATCTTCTTTCAAAGCTCACCCTACTTGTAAATGAGGTTTATAGCAAATAAGCCGTCTTACTGGCAATTAACCGCGAAAACAACGTTAAAGTGTCGTCCCAGACCGCGAGTGCTCTGAGAATTATAGACAAGATTTAATTCAAAGCTTGCTCGGGCAGTAAATCACACCTAGGGGCTGGCAACTTGAGTACCTGGGATAATACGGAACCAGCTAAACACGTCCTTATTTATATTGATCTAAGGACGCTTTTAGATCGTAGGGCGCTGCCCAAATAGGTACCATAATGAGATATTGGTTATACACGGAATTAATGCGTCCCCAAAGAAACCGACGTCCTGTTATTGATCGTGTTTCAAAGGACAGGCTCAATCTACTATCCTGTCTGAATTATCGCGCGGTGTACTCAATAATGCGCTTTATTGTAGTTGGCGTAACGTCGCCTTTCGCACGCAGCATTCGTTTGATACGCCTTTAATCGAATAAATACGGAGGTTTGTATCGAATTTGTTACAATGACGCGACGAATTGAATTGAACTTTTGCGGATTAAGTCCCTTTATATCCTTCGTTATTTATTACAAACCGAGAGAGTGTACGAAATACGTGTACGCACACGATACAAGTTGACACAAGCGAAAACTTTCATGTATAGGTATTAGTGGTTTTACTATGACGATTATGCAATACAGTAATATAAATGAATGAAATGTGAGACATTTCATTCATGCGAAACATTTTAATTACTTAATTTACTTAATAAACAATCTTTTCAATTTATCGAGGGTTTTTTATGAGGAATTATAATTTTTATTGTTGATTTATCACTAACAAATCAATGTACCATCGTATGCTATTAAATGAATACGACACTATTTGTATTGCCTACAAATAATTATTTTGAATCCGAGCGTTTGACTTAATGCAATTCGAAATTAATGTTACCTGTGTAAATTATGTTCACAGTATGGTATAAATTTATTCCTAATGTTTTTTTTTTTTGTTATAAATTCAAAGTAATTTACAAAATTATAATTGTTATTCAATTAAATAGGAATATAGTGAAACATAAAAACATTTTACTTATAAGACTGGCTAATACGAATAACTCGGAGACATTAAATTAGTACTTAAAGGCATCTTAATTCGTTTTCCTTCCATAAGGATTCTTATATTACATATTAACGACTGTACTAATGAATTGAGCTCTTATTAATTAATTTGCGAATAACAAGATGAAGAGAAACTGATGACTTTGATCAGTTGCTCTAAGGTTAAAGTTATATGAAGAGGAAGTAGACTGGTCACATTTCTCACAGTACCAACACCCGATGGAGCAGACGAGCTCTGGAGTGGAGAACTCGTTTAGGTAAAACAAGTATAAAGACATACGGCCAGCAGTAAACAAACGAACGATGATGATGAATCATAATTACATTTTCATTGTTATCCATGATTGTGGTCGTAAGTCTAGACATAATTTTAATTTCCCTCAATAAGGAACGGTCGATATAGAACGTGACCTTCACAGATCTCACCTAGACACGCTTTAGTATTCCAAGTAGCGGCGCTCTTAGGCCGAACAGAGGAAGCAATTTCAGCGGATAGATACAAGCTTCTTCGAGAACTGCAAATGGGACATGCCTGGCTGCGTGCATGCATACAAATCGCTGCACCCGACTGCGCGTCGCAGCTCCGTCGCTTGATATCATCTCACGTCTATCGGAGCGTGAGTCGGCAAAGCGAAACTCGGGAATGAGCAATTACCACCTGACGCATCGCTTCGGTTCCATGACATAATCAGAGTCTCCCTAGATTTAAGCTCGCTTCAGTAACTGTCCTTCAGCGTCAAAGTATTTTTTGATCGATTCGTGTTTTCCGATCTCATGAACGCCATAATCTGCGAACTGTTCTCAAATGTCCACCTGTTATGAGACAAGTCTGCATGAATACGCGACATTAAATAGACATCCAAAAATATATGTAATGTATATAACAGACAGATGTTTCTCAAGTGGACAGCAGCGCTTTATACGTAGTCAACGTGGTGATTTCTACCAATATTTAGTTTAGTGTCATGGCTGGTAGATATTCCACCAATGAAATCAGATTTGGATTTTTAACTGAATGATTTCTAATATTTATGGAATTACTATACTATATATGAATCAACGAGCCTAAGTGCTGTACGGATTTAATCGCGTTTAATTTTCATATTTTAATTCCTTTCAATCTATCCAATTAAAGTACCTCCATGATTGCACGAAGCATCGACGGTCCAGTTCTCGTTTCCGTAAACGTGAGTGAAACTTTCCACGTCAGTAATTAATTAAAATAATTCGAAATAAATTCTAAAAAAGGTTTGTAGAGTTGATATAGTTTATTCAGCTTTACGACGGGATAAGTCAACTTCAACCTTGTAGGTAATCAGTTTTTTTTTATAATAACAAATTTATTTAAGGGACGATTTGCAAAATAATAAATTTTGAAAATCACTTTATGAAGAAAGGACATCTTCGGAATATTTTTTTTGTTAATTCGAAAATATGCAGGTTTCCTCGCGATGTTTTCCTTCGACGCTGAGCACGTGATAGGTTGACATTTAAAATTAACGATCTCATTGTTGTCGGCACCGGCGATCGAACTCAGGTTGCTCGAGTATATTGAATTAAAATCGAGCGCCCGGATACGGCCTATCATGACCTATCACGGCTCTTACAAATTAAATAGATTCCCCATTTGAAAAAAATACTGATTTCAGATTGATAACGCCAATGGACGTTAATTAGAGTGAGTAGTTGGATATGAGAAGTTGAGTTTTGATTGGGGAAGACGGGAAAATGAGTTATATTTTCCCTGTCTATTAATTATAGGATGGGGGCGAATTGGATCGTAGGAAAGTCGCGTGTAATTATTTCTCATTTTACTTTATTTTCCTCTTCACAGTCGAAGGGTCTTCAATCGTAGATGTGGTAAAACGCATCGTCCGCCGGTTTCTCTCCCTTTTGCACTAACCCTCGGCCGTTTGATATCTATATGTTTATTTTTATTTATAATGTTTATTTTATATGTCCAATATATATATAAATATATATATATATATATATATATATACATATATATATTCGGAATCTCGGACACGGCTCCAGCGAATTTCATGAAATTTTGTATGTGCGTAGATTCGGGGGCGAAAATTCAATCTAGCTAGGTTTCATTCTTAGAAAATGTCCTTTAATCCCTGTTTTCAGGGAATGAAAAATATCATTCGAATATGACGGTAAATGTCGCCGCAGAAAAAATGTTATAATAGCTCGGTCGGTAATCGGGCGGCCCAAAAACAGACGGCCGCGGTTCATATCACGATCTATAACACACTTATTTTTTTACTTTTTTTTTCTATACCAGATCATCATTTTTATTTTTTATATTTTTTTATTTCCAAAATACATGATTTGCCAAAAAAAAACAGGTCCTCCAGGTACTTTCTATTTATAAACTCAACCAGACGAGAAAACAAATGAATTTCAATCAAGGAAGGGGACAGAGTTAGGGCGTATAGTTATTAATGTCTGAATTAGATGATCATCATGGCGTCAAACGAAATCAGCGTAGGACGTTGTCATTGCTGCTACATGTATAGGTTTTTCTACCACTCTCGTTATTGTCTTTCCAGTAAACGTTGTTATTATTGGTCGAATAAAAGATTCATCATAAAAAGTTTCGCCACTTTTGGTCGAAAAGTGTATAGACATTGGTATAGTAAAGTATTCCCCTTTTTATTTACACTCCATTAGATATGGCTTCTCTGTTAAGACTGTATTAAAGCATTATTGACCTTAATTATAAAGTGGGGATTGTCGTCACATTCTAACAACAATAATGTTACTTAGCATTTGAGTTGAGGTAGTTCAAAGGATTTGCCGTAATTATTTACGACCGTAGTCATTTTTAAATTCGTTTATCACCTTTAATTTATATATTTTTAAATTACCTATGTGAAAGTTCGAAATATTATCACGAAGTAATAAACGCTTAAATGAATATAGAATTAATAGGTCATATTAAAGAAGAAGTTCAAAAAGTTCCAAACGCAATTAATGTCAAAGAGTTTACTCTAATTAGTTCAGTATCTCGACGGCACGAGAGATCCGAGAGAAATGAAAACGTTCGAATGGATGTGCGACATTCAGGCGCGGAACTTGCGTAATTATATTTCCGAGCGGCCGACTCGTACGTGGCAACGGAGAGCCGCTAGGAAATTCGTGGTAAATCCGCTGTGTTGGAAAAACCATCGCATAGCAAATCAGTTTTGATTAATACATAGAGCTCATTTTCCAATAATCAATAAGCCTAATTACAAAGCATCTAAAAATATAAAAGATCGATCGATCTTTAAATAACTCAAATCAATGTATATAGTGAAACAACTCTAAATGTATGTGTTGACACACGATTGTATGTACAAGTTTTATTATGCTCTACAGAAGTCGCACATGAACCTAATGTTAGTACACGCAAAGCGTAAATGATTAATCATCTAATACATTAAAAAATCGATTGCAACGGTCTACAATCGTGCCCAAGTCGACCTCAAATGAATTCAAACTTTAAGCACCAGGAGTTAAAATGCCTCACCGTCGTAACCTGCTCGCGCACACTCGGCGCGAGTGATTCAATTATATTCTCTTCATCTCTGCCAAGTCGAATGATAAGTCGAATGGTGTCCCGTAATGCAGTAGAAGCCGCAGCGCTAGCTGGCACCAGTTCAGGCGCTCTAGAGTGGAGTGCACCAAACCTGCCAACTGAATTTATTAGATTCGCCCACTAATAATGCTCCCTCAACCCGTCACAGGCGAGGTGATAATGAGTTTGCGCCGCAAGGAATTCATTTTCTCAGTAAGAGTCGAGACGGACTGGGAATTCCATATTTTGGGAGGGAAATATGTAAACGTTTCTCGTAGCGTCGTGCACGAATTCAATAAAGCTTTTTGACGAGATCTCCTCGAAGTTTGACATTGTTTAATTTTTGTTATAAGTTAGTTCGACGTCTTATTTTGTTTTTATTCGTACTAAAGTTTACTTGGTCTTGGATCAAAAGCGTAAGTGCTATTGTGATTTTCCAGATTTAAGAATTTTTTTATGTGAGAAGGTGGCATGTGAGCTTGTGGTTCAACTAAAGTTAAGTCATAACCGCCGCCCATGGTCGTTTGCAACATCCGTAGGACTGCAGATGCTTAGCCTTCTTTCAATAAAGTGGGCCCCGGCTACCTCACTCACTAGACGAAACGCAGAGGCATATCAATACCACTTCACGCCGGTATTCTGTGAGATCGTGGTATTTACCCGGACGGACCAGCCCATGCATGCAACAGCGACTGTTGCGTGGCCCTACCAGAGCTAGAAGATTAAAGTATTAGAACACGAGGCTATGTTAAAACCATTAAGAAATGGCAAAGAGCAAGGAAAACAAATTTCCAGAAGTGGTGGTAATTCCACCGACGCGGGTTGGTTCACTTTATCTATTATTAAATTACCCCTAGGCTAAGCACACAGTAATCCCAGAAGTGCAGAAAATTTATGTGTCACTCACCGAATTCTGTTGCTTCTTTCTTGTCTCTGCTAGTCCCGGGACAGCCAGTTCAATCGCTAATGATAAATTAAATTTCTTCCATGAAGAGGCGCGCGTGCGTTCTCGACAAAACTCGAAGATGACAAGTAGTTCATATTATATTTTTTCCGCCAATCACCGGTCGCCAATGTTGCCAGCGTTAACCCGGTGTTTTCTAGTTACAATTTTTTATTCGGCCTACCTGTGACACCGCTCCACACAACTAGGATACGAATGCGCTCAACCATAACCCCCCGACCTTAGGAGAGATGGGTCTCTCCTAATGAACATATCGATTTAATAAAATGAAGTAAACTAAAGCTTGAAGAAAAAAAAATTAACAATATTAAAATGAAAGTAAAAGTGAAAGAAAATATGTTGAAGACAAAAAAGAAAATAAATTAAGAAATGAGTTTAAATTATTGGGTGGGTAGGGGACAGACCTTCACCACTGGTCTAACATAAGAACCGGAATGCGTACGTACAGTAACCACTCTAACGACACCGTCCGCACCAGGGTGAACTTTAGTAATTACGCCTAGTGGCCATTTTAACGGTGGTCCATTATCAGACTTCAATATAACTACAGTTCCTATAGTGACAGGCGATGTGTGCGTATTCCACTTTTGTCGACCTTGCAAAGTCGTGAGATATTCATTCTTCCATCGTGTCCAATAGGATGCAATGATTTTGTCTAACAAATATTTGCGCTTAAGTAAAGATTTGGGTTGAGACGTAGTATCGACCAAGTGGAATGAATTGAGGGGGCCAAAGGTTAAAAAGTGTGCCGGCGTCAATGCAGTAGGTTCCGCAGGATCAGAACTTAAGACGATAAGCGGCCTGGAGTTTAAAACTCCTTCTATCTGAGTAACAACGGTTAATAACTCCTCATAAGTTAAAATTACATCTCCTATAACTCGTTTTAAGTGTAATTTAATACTACGAATATTTGTCTCCCAGGCTCCTCCGAAATGAGGTGCATTAGGTGTTATCATATGCCAAGTGATGCCCTGACTTGTGGTTTCATTTAGAAATGAGTCTGTAAATTTATTAGATCGAAGGAACGTTTGAAGTTCATCAAAGTATCTCTTAGAGCCAACAAAGTTTGTACCATGATCGGAGAATAACTCTAAGCAGTCACCCCGTCGTGATACGAATCGCTTAAATGCCTTAATAAATGCGTCCGTACTTAGATCCACCGCTAGTTCTATATGAACAGCACGTGTCACTAAACAGGTAAATAAACAAATATATGCTCGTTCCCGGCGAGCTCCTCTATACCTACTTATCAAAATTGATATTGGACCCGCATAATCAACACCCGTTTTTAGGAACGGTTTTACCTCGTTTACCCGTAAGCTGGTAGGTCAGCCATAAAAGCGGTTTTTTTGTCTTCGGGTTAGCCTTAAAGCACTTATTACAATTTTGAAAACATTTACGGACCATGTTCCTGCCGGATATTATCCAATAACGTTGTCTGAGTAGTGATAGAAGAAGAGTCGGTCCAGGATGCAGAAATTTAGCGTGATAAATAATACTCAATTAATAACTTAACTACGTGATCACCCTTAGGCAACAGCACCGGATGTTTAATATCGAAGCTGACATTAGCGTTTTGTAATCTGCCTCCAACCCTGATGAGTCCGTCCTTTGCAATAAAGGGTGAAAGAGTTTTAAACGATTTCGGAAGCTCACGATGTAGTTTCAAACTCTCAATTCCTTCGAAAAGTTAACTTCCTGGACTAAGAGTAAAATTGCTGTTTCAGCTAATATTAAATGGTCAAGCACCATATGGTTTGAACGCGGAATCTTTTTTATAAAACGAAAAATGTAAACAATAATTCTCAACAACTTAGACCAAGAGGACAATTTTAGGGCAATGTTGTATAATAATGGATTTTCTGTAGTAGCGCTGAATAATGCTGCGATGTTTGTTTTTAATTCATAATCACAACTTTTAGTCGAGTCTGAACGTTCGAAAGTAAAACGCTCTATTGGCCACTCACATACAGAACTCCGCGCCCAGGTTGGACCGTGCATCCATAAGGGATGGTTTAAAAGTTGAGAAGGAAGCAGACCCCGAGAAATACAATCACTAGGATTGTCCTTCCCGGATACGTGGAAAATATGTTTAGCGGATAAGTAATTTTGAATTAACGCGATGCGATTAGCTACATACGTTTGAAAACGATGTGGCGATGAGTGCGCCCAATATAAAGCAACAGTGGAATCGGTGAAAGCGAATATATCCTTGATATTACAACGGTTTGAAATCGCGTCAAGCACAAATCGCATTAATTTTGCTAGTAATAAAAGTCCGCCGCTCAAAGCTCTAAACGCGCTAGTGTCTGCATTTTCTTAGGAGCTGGAGATACTCTACTTTTTGCACAGACTAAATTTACGGAATTCGCTGTCGAACCTTGGACGCAAAGATAAATGGCAGCCCCATAACCCCGTTCACTCGCGTCTGAAAACCCTAATACTGATATATTCCATAATAACACCATCGTATAGATCGCGTAAATTTTTGCTAACCCTAAATTTCCGTTCAAGGGATGCATATCGTTTTGTTGCGGTTCGAAAAGAATCGCCCAAATCGGAAGGATCGCGTGAAAATGGTAGAACCGTTATGAAGCGGCCGTCAATACTCCGAGAGATACTTTTGGTATATAACATTTCACATTGCTCCTCAGCAGGTGATAAATGTATTTTATCTGGTACATCCTCGGTGCTTAAAAACTTGTCCATTAAACTTTCGATAGAATCCTCGTTAGTGCAGCAATATGCACTAACACTCTCTTCGAGAGTGGAAGCGGAAGATGGCGCGGTTCGCGCGACGCGAGCGGATCCGACGACAATATAACCGAATATTGTTTCTATTGCGTCGGGTTCACCTTTGGGACCTAGTATTTTATTGCCCTTTAAAATCCTTGCAAACACCTCTGAGCCTAACAGCATGTCTATAGGTCCCGGTAAACAGAAGTGTTCATCCGCGAGCGGTAAATTAAATAAATAATCGAGTTTGGAATAATCTACCCTAGTTTGCGGTAAATTTCCAGAAATCTTGTTCATCACTAAAGCATCTATGTTAAGATTAAAATTACTATAACGTGAATGTAAAGTTAAATTTGTCAACCCTTGAACTGATTGTGAGCTGTTGCCTATACCTTTCACTCCAATTTTTTCTTGTGGCTGGCGAATATTAAGGCCTAGTCTTTTACAACATTGTTTCGTAATAAAATGTTTTTGCGACCCCATATCAATGAGAACTCTAACCGTATAAGTGATAGAATTTTTGTTTTTAACATGAACAATCGCGGACCCTAACAAAACTATACTATGAAATACGTGTTCAGGCACTTTTGGTGCACTGTGGCTACATAATGAAACGACTCTGTTCTCACTATCCTGCAATGTATCGGTCTTATCGCAAACGTATGTAGCCGTGTGGTCAACTGATGTTCCTGCGATCATAGCGCTCGTGTCGCTTTGCGATTTATTTCCCCCCCCGACCATTACAGGTGTATATTCGGAAAAATGTAACATAGAATGATGTTTGTTTTGGCAATGTTTGCATGTAGAAAGAGATTTACAGTTCATATTTGTATGTCGAATGCTTAAACAATTTATGCACCCATTTTTTTCTTTTACAACCCTATACCTGTCCCGTGGACTCAATTTCTCAAATTTAGAGCAATAAAATAAATGTTCATGATCGGGTGAACGACATAAAACGCAAGATCGATTATTATAATGTTGCGATTGACCTTGAGTTTCATTATTCGCCATAAACGCTCGAGAGTTCCGTACCTGTTGAGAGTTAAAATTCGAGAGCCTCGATCGTGTTGTCCCGCTTCCTACACCAAATGCATTACTAGCTGTTCTTTGTAAGATCTTTAATTGTTCGCGAAGAAATGTAATAAATTCATTATACTGCGGAAACGCCTTTTTTCTTACACTACTTTCAAACTGTTTAGCAGTCTCCATATCGAGCTTGCGCAGGCCTAAATGCACAAAAATGAAATCTAACAGGTCGTCAATTTTTAGTTGTTTTATAGCGGCAACTGATGTGGCATATTGATCAATGAAACTGTCCAACGATTGTGGGTTAGCGTTATGCACCGGCTTAAGGTTCAATATCTTATCTATGTATGCAACAGCGATCGCGCGGTCATCGCTGTATTTTTCAACTACCGCTTCATAAATATGGAAATAAT